TACCAAGTCTTGAGCCTCAGTCTTCAGCTGAGTCTTCAGTATCTTTTTGCATTTCCACTTCTGTTACAGTAGTCTCTCACTCCTCTGCTGACCTAAAGTTTTTGTATTTGCTTAGCTCCCATTTAGTATCTTTCAAGCTTAAAATTACTTGGTAGCTTGTTATGCAATATCATTTGATAGGAAAAAAGATAAATTCTTTAATTCTGACCAGAGCAAACTGACAAGGGAGCAGTCCCAAAGCATGTGGGCTTTTATTAGTGCTGAATCACAGCTCCACCTTTTGTTTGATTTAGTGAGATGTATTTTAAATAATCAGAGTCAAATGCGGCTTATATATGATTTTCTGCTAGATAGTCTTAAACAGAAGTCCAAAGAACAATTGAGGGCTCTATGTAGAACCATTGATACATAACAGATCTAGTTCCTCATCTTTTTCTTAGGTATATATGTGTCTTCTTACATCTTTATACATGTAAAATAGAAAGAATCTGTGTTTAATTCAAATTTTTAGGTGGTGCTATGTTTAGTATTTTTAGTGGACAGTGAGAATTGGTGTAACTTCCGAAGAAATTAAAACATTTCAAGTGAATTTGAGACAACATAGGCTCTGGTGTCAAAGTGTTAGGAGAAGGCATGTTCAAGCTTCATGCCTTCACTTCTCCCCCTGAGGTCTAGTTTGAACCTTCTCATCAATACGGTAAGGAGGAATGCCAACCCTTTGTTCAGTGAATTAAGTGACAGTCATTCTATGTCCAGCTTATCCCGTCCCTGAATGGACTTATCTGCTCTGAGGTGTTTTGACATGTACGAAGATGTTTTCTGTGAAAGATTTGGGGCTCTGACAGAAACCCTTTCACAAATACAGCTGGGGTGATTTAAGACTTGCTTCCCTTAGTTATTCACACTGTATCTAAGAGGACAAATTCAGTCTTGTTAGTATGGACTGTTTACTAAGACTGGTTTATGTGAAAGCACTGGACTGTGAATTTGGGCAGCTCGGGCAGGGATAGAGGTTGCCTTCTGCTGCTGTGCTACACAGGGACAATGACCCCAGTCAGAGAAGTGCCAGGAAGGGCCATCCAGGGGGCTGATATCACCTTAAATACCCACAAGAAGATTTACCAGAAATCCTTGTCAGATCCTCGTATGTGCTATGTTTTCTTGTTTGCCACAGTTGTTGGGCATTTTTCTTTAGGTAATTCCTAGTGATCTGAATGCAGTTCATTGGCATGGGGTAAATGGGCAACAAATTCTGCTTTTGACTGGAGCTAGTCAGCGGCTCCGTTGCCTGGGGCTTAAACTGTTAAACTGTCTGGCTAGTGATTGCTGCCTGATAATAGAGCATATAGCTGGGTACTCTTGCCTACTCTTGGTAGGAAGTTGTCACCTTTGGAGGAGCATTCTGGGCTTGTTACCAAAATGCCAAGAGAAGGATTTCAACATGTTGCTGATTTTGTTAAATAAAAGCTAGGAAGATGAATGGGGAGGGAATTCAAAATAAACAGGATCCTAGGAAGGGTGCTCATTATTTATTTTCCCACCCAAAAGGGACGAACTAACATTTACCATTTAGTTATGTCATTTACCAACTCCATAACTGATAGGGATAGTTTAACTTTGAGTGGGTAATTTCCATAAGGAATTGGATGTAAGTGCATTTGGCATTTATTTTTTGCCAACTGAATATCCTTTTAGATGTATCACATTTAGTCACAACATCTCCATTGCTCTTATGCATCCCATTTATACTTCAGTTAGAGAATTTAACTGAAAGTATCCATTGGTTGTAGAGTGCTTGAAATATCTAGATTTGAGTTTTTCATAAAGAGGATATAATTTGTCTTTTAATATTCAGTGTTCTTTATTTAATATCAACATGTGTGATCAGGAAGAGGTACCTTTCTGGTGCCGCAAAACAGTTCAAGAGTAGCAATATGCTGGTCATTGCATTGACCAGCAATATGCTGGTCATATAAGGTCTTCTAAACCCAAATCTCTCTAGGTACTGCTTTAAGTAGCCTTCATTCCTAGGGCTCTCAAAATTTCTTCTCTCAACCTACTTCTCAGTCATTAGGCCCTCACTCTTCTTTGCCTTTGACTCAGGCATGTTACATGCATTAACGATGCAAAGAAAGCTTCTACTTCATCTCAATTCACAGTCCGTATCCAGATTTGATGTGCTCAGCAGTAGCCCAAAGTTGCAGTTGTGATTAAAATTGTTGGCTTCAGTCTGGACTATGGTGAGAGCAGACAAGAGTCTTTAGAGAATTTAATTATAAGGGTCTAGCAAATCCTTAGTGAACATGTGTGAACTCATTTTTCAAAGGCTTTTTCAGTTTGGCCAAATGTCAATAAAATTCCACAAACTGCAGAATAACAGTTTCTGTATATAGGGAAAAGTTGTTTTCTAGCCTCTGGGTGTCCAGCCAGGGAAGAACAACAGGAATATGTAGGGAAGTGAGATTATTTAATAATATGAATATAAGCCAGTTTGTTAATAATGCAGCACAGTGGTGGCATGTGATTTTAACTCATATTTTCTTCCTGGCTTCACTGAATTACTTGCAACAAAGACAAAAAACAAACTATAATTTGTTTTATGATCTGACTCAGCATTTATTTATGATTACCCTCTTCATCCACAAGTCTTTGCTTCCAAGTCTAAGGTCACTAGAACCTCTTAAAGAAATGGCATCAAAGTTTAAACCCCCCCCACATTATCCCCTAACTTTTCTCTTGGACACTTCTGAACCATTTCATCTGGGGAGGAAGAAAAAAATAGCCCGAGGATAAAATTTCACTCCAGATGGTTAAAGTTTGGCAAACCTACAACCAACTGAAAAGTCAGACCTATAATGGGATGTGTCATGCAGACTTGATAATAGGCAAACGTTAAAAGCCATGCAAATATGAGGTAAGTGGTAATTTGCTTTCCTACTCTGTTTTGGAGCATCAAAATAGACGCAGTTAAAATAAGATAGACTAGATTAATCCTAATTTTAAAAAAGTGTGTAGAATGATGGTTACTGCCTTATTCTCAATAGATATTTGGAAAAATGAAGACAGCTTGCATCACAAAGGAGATGTTTAATTTCATAGTATAGTATACAGAATATAAAACCACTTCTAATACCAGAGGTGTCTTCAAGTGTTCTGTGGGATTGATTATAAAAAGTCGATGCAATCCAATCAGGGCATCTAGCTGCATGAATGTATACAGAGACAGTGCATGTAGTGTAAAGGATGACCACAAGCAGTGTGCACGCTTTTGAAACAACTCTAATGATGATCTCTTCAAATTCTTTCTTTCCATGTAAGCTTACTCTGTACCTCCAGCAAAACTTCCACACGTGGAAGGAGACAGTAGTTCTCTGTTTACATACAGAATAATCGTACAGAACTGCAAGTAGTAGTATGAAATAAGGGTATTTCACACGTTATCACCATGTCAGCAATACACTGTAGTTAGGACAGAATGCCTCCTGGCACAGTTAATGATGGCGTTCTTGCCACAGCAACACTGAGCCCAGCGCTGTGTAATTTACCTTTTGTCATAAGCAAATTTTGCAGCCACTACAACATAGCGTGAATCTTACTTGTAATCTAAAGGAGGAAGGCTTGGGCATCGTTACCAGTAGTTTCAATTGTGCAATCACTCTTCCTTTGATTCCCTAACAATGCCGTAATCAGACAGAGAAACGGCATCTTTTGTTGAATGCCGTAGCAGAGTCCCTAAATAAAAAATTTCTGCCTTTTAGGAAACAGTCTTCAAGACCTTAGAGAGCAAGTACTTGCAATCAGAAATCAGCCTGCACTCATGTATTGCAGTGAGGAATATCATTAGCCTATGAAACTTGTCTCCACAAAGATTAGTATTAATAAAGTGGATGTATTGCTTTATGAAATAGCATATAAATGAATAATTCATATTAATAAATCTTATTATGAGATTGTTCAGTGGAGTGCATTCTGTCAAACTGATTGTCATTAAAATTAGGTCTGGTATAGCGTGGGGTGCCAGAGAACCTTTGTGTGATGTCAGGTGTAACTTTCTAAAGAGGGCTTATCATACTGTTTTAAGTGAGGATGATACTAATGCTGTTCCACTGGCATTGCACCTTCTTTGTAAATCCATGAAAGAAATTCTAGCTACCTTTTCTTTGAAGAATTTACTCCTTAGTTGGTGTGGTTGGCAGCAACATTGTGAATTTTGTCATGGAATGAGGAGTAGGTGTGATCTTCCAATCAGGTACGTGCATTAAGGAAAAAAAAGCCTTATGTGGTTATATAATTAAAGATAGTGTGATAACATAAGCACAGTGGAGAGAACGTAAACACCCTTAATTCTGGTGTTTCTTAGCCTCTGAGTATGTGAATCTGCAGCCTTTAACAGTTTTAAATATAGTTTGTTTGTGTATTATAGATTAAATAAAAGTGGGAATGTGGGATTGTGTTAAAATAGTCAGCAGGCTTTTCAAGCCCGTTTTCTTTCAATATTGACACTTTTTGCTTGAGTGGGTTGGAAAACTGACAAACATAACGTATGTTGTATAAATAACTGAGCAGTATATCACTCTAGTGGGTATATAAACTTCTTTCTTATCATTCTGTTATCTGCAGTCTGTATAAATCCATTGCTCACTAGCAATGCAGATGCAGAGTTATGTCTTCATAAACATATTAACTGTGGTGCTTTGTTCATTTTCCAGGATTTTCTTTCCATGCTGTTGGAAGACATCCCTGAACAAAAAGAGTAAGTGAGAACGAGGCTAGAAATGTCAAAGAAGAAAGTAGAAATCAGCCTAAATATCAGCTGTGCTAGCCAGAAATAGTAGGAGTTCATTTAGTATTGTTCTGCTTGTTTTTTTTCAAGTGTGTGTGTGTATCTTTCTCTGAAAATTCTCAGACGTATATTCACAAAAAACATGAGACCTGCTGTGTTGTTGCTATCCCATGCTCCCCCCAAGCAGTGCCTGTAACTTGCATGTTAGGGCAGCAGTGAAGTCTTGTACTCACTACGCAATCTGAAGTGCCAGGCGCAGCTGCCTCCTCAAATTAATCTGTGATCCTCCTGCCAGCTGCTTTTGGCACATGGCACCCTAGAGCAAGGAGGCCAGAACTTTGCCACGGATCTGGGAAACCAGAGAAGATGGATTTTACTCAAGCAGTAGTCTGGTACCATCCCCTCCCTGTCACACCGTGTGCCAAATGGGGAAGGATGGAAAATGCTAACGGAAATCCAGCATTAATTGCCTGACATGTCCTTCAAAATCCTGCTGTATGTGACTGTGACTGGCTGAAGATGATACAGCTAGTCTTTAGCAGAGCTTTGAATCCATCCCTGCTTATCCATTGGTTTGTTCTGTGCTACTACAGACTGTGCTACAAATAAAAATTCTTTTGTAGTGGAGCTTTACGTATTATAGTTTTTAAAAATAATGTATTCACTTGAAAAATGCAGTTTTGGGGAGCGGGATTCCAAGAGTCTTCATAAATCTGGGTGAGTAGTTTGGAAAATAAAGGAGAGAAGATATTCATAAAAGTTAAATGTGTTGTGTTTTTTAGTGAAACACTTCTGTTTGATGTACCGTAAGATGATATTTTGTTTATATCATTGGGTATGGGTTTCCAGCCCAAATATAATCAGGAATATTAAATGGAATATATAGGAAAGTGAATTATTTAATGGCATGATTATAAATTGAGTTGTTAATAAAATTTCTATTTTTCTTCCTTTTTTCACTTGTGTTTCTCTGAGGTCCAAACCCAGTGGAAAATTTTATTTGAATAAGCATCTGATTTTCAGCCTAGAAACATGCCAAAATATTTAAACTTTCGTGAGACTAATGCAAAAGAAGTATGTCTTCATTTGCATTGCATCATACTCCAGAACGTATGGACAAAATTTCAGATCTATGGTAATTCATTTTACAATTGGACACATTGCATATCTGAACTTACCTACTGCCAAAATTACCTTGGGTGCACTTATCAACAGCAATGCCAAAAATAATAGAACATCAGGATATACAGAAGGCCTTAATTTCTTATCTGCTACAAAGATGTTTTCTCATTCTTGAATGTATTCTGTTGCTAGTACACAAGTACTAGCCTGAGGTAAAAGCAAAGGGAGGAAAGATAAAAATGAAATATTTTTAGAGATCATCTGCTGATAAGTGCTTTTCTGCATAAAGTTTCAGTAGTAGGAATGAAATGCATTTCAAGATTTGAGTAACAAAATTCTTTGGAGCACACAAAACCTCCCAGACTTGTGCAATTCTACCAAGTAAAATTTTAATGTTAAAACTATATGCTTCTTGCTTGAAAAATATTAAGCACTCTAATATACTAAAGTTTGTAAGGCTGGACTTAATCATAAAAAAAAAAAATAAGAAAAGACAAATTAGTAGTAGGGAATCAAGCCAAATCCTTCCCTCAGCTGTGGCAACAGAGGCAAACTAGTGTAGCTAGGAGTAGAATTTGGCTTATGGGAGACTTTTGTAATGAGAACAGGATTAACATTGGCGGAAAGCGATCATACAACAGTGTGGAAATTTTCTGGAATTATTACATTGGTGTAACGCAACATTAGTTTTCTGCTATTGGATGCAGCAGACTGTATCTAAAAGATTCTCACTCTTCCAGTACTTAATTCCTTTAGTTTTTAGTTACAGGAGATTTTTTAGTACATTCCCAGCGATGAGCAGTTCCAAGATACAGATGTAACTTCTTAAGTGGCAGTCATTGATTTTTGCTGCCTTCTCTACTCAGAGGAGGAGGATTGCATGCCTAGTTCATAGGGCTACTTCAGTTCCTGCTCTGACTCAATTTTAATGGCATGTTAGTGGTAGGAATCCATTCTCCAAGGCAGGATCCTCCTGTTTCTGGACTGTGGCTGAATACTGACATCAGACAGGCCTAGCAGTTATCTTCTGGTCCTTTGGAATTTCCTAACTTGCCCTTAAGGCAGATTATTTCTGTGTGTGAGGGGCCAATGGCAAGAAGGACAAACAAATATCTATGATTGCCCTTCTCTGTTTTCAAAGCCTTTTAAAATATAACATGCACTGGCTATAGCCTCACATTATCTTGGCTTTTCTCTAGAAAATCTACAATACATCCCACCTGTAACTGAGGCATCTTATTTCCTCATATATAATATGAAACTTTACTACATTAAAAACAAAACAAAACAAACTAAACCAAACAACAACCAAACCCCTTCTTAATGTGTCTGTATATCACAGTTCACTAGATTTGATAAAACTCCCAGTGGCTCTGTTCTCCCCAGGGCTTACACCCATAGTCTTTGCTGTAAATTGATCCTCTCCACATCTGCCCAACATGTGAGCTGTGCAAAGACTCAGTGTTTTTAAGGCCCAGTAACAAAGGGTGAATTTCACCAGCCTCAAATAAAACAGTTTCAGCTGCTTGTGCTCTTTACAACTGCAAATTTTTTTGAGCAGGTCAGTAGTGTTCTTTGGGGTTTTCTGGTGGTATTTTTTATTTAATTTCATTCAATAAAATAAAAAAGTGTACTAATAAAGCTATGGTTTTAATAATACATGATAGACAAAGGAAGGCTTGTGTTGCAGCTCTGCTATTTGTACTGTTAATAACTCAGGCTTACTAGCCACATTCCTTGGATGTCTTCATAAATTGTCAATTAAGTACTAAATCTATGTTAAAATAATGCTGTAATTTCAAACTACTCAGCTATACAGGTATATGTCTCTTTCCTTCATACTTGCTTTCTTCATTACTCACACTGTCATGAATGTGGTGATTTCGATTGAGACAAACAGCTGGTAAGCACCCAACTCGCAAAGCATATCATTGGGAAAGATTTTTTCCAGTGTTTTTGATTCCTCCATGTTTTTGGTAGGCCAAAATATATATGCTGGACAAAAACCAAAGGAAATCTTACCTGCAGGAAGCTATGGCTAGTTGACAGAATCACTAATCAGTCACTAGTCTTTGATTTGCTCTCCCTCCATATTTAGCTGGAATAGCTTACTCTGAAAATGATTGATGTATATGCATGTATATATCCAGATTAAGCAGTTATGCTTGTTGAAGTATTTTCAGTTGGATATGGCAGACTCTTTATCTTCCTTTACAAAAAAAGAAAAAAGTTGCACACTTTCATGTGCACTGTTTATTTGCTGCAAGATCTTATTCTAGAAGTGGTTTCTCCTCCTTGACTGAGGAATTAAGTGGGTTTATGTTAAAGTTTGCAGAGTGCCTTCAGGCCTTGTGCAATGAAAGCTTGATATACAGGCATCTTTTATAATGCTAATTTTCAAATTATTATTAATGTTAGTATTTTACAGAGCTTGCTCTGAAGCATTGAATCTGGCCATGAACAGTATGTATGCATGTTAAGAGATCGTTCCTATGATCGGCTTATCGTCTAAACAAATAGACAAGGGATGAGATAATGGATGTACTAGCATTCTCATTTTACAGTAGGGAACTGTAGTACAAAGCAAGTGAAGAACCTACCCAGCCTTGTAAGAGCTCTGTTATAGTGCTAATCAATTGGACCCAGATCCCACAGTCCAATACAGTACCTTAACCAGAAGGCCATTCAGGAAATCACACATACCGCAGATTTAAGTCCTTACAGATGCTTAACTGCAACATAAGCAGGTGGTAAGTGCCCTTTCTGAATACAGATGCTTTACTGAACTGCAGCCTCTATAAATATCAGGCCCTCTGTCCTTTCTCTAGGACATTTGTTTTGAAATAGCAATCTGTTTGTGATCTATTTTTTGGGCTTGATACGAAGCCCAACAAGTTAGTGGAAACCTGTCCAGCGACTTCACAGTTCTTCGGTATTGACTCTCAACACATTCAGAGTAGATCTTTGCAATAGTCTGTATATTACTAACATATTCGGAAAAAAATAGTTAATGCCTGTAAAATGTTAAAACAAGTTGCTTTTTTTTGATGGATGCCAACAAGAATGTCCTAAGTTGGGGAAAAAAAAAAGGGTGTGTGAAAGTACAAAGAAAGAAGACTGCGTATGGTCATATGACAGGTGGGTTTAGCTGAAGCTGAGGGTCCTGCAGGCAGAGAGATAGCAGCGTTGTCGTCTTTGCCCTTGAGAAAAATGTCAAAGTTTCAGGAGAGGCTGAGCAACTTACTAGTGGTGTTTCTGCCTGGATTAGTGTGGTGTCAGAACAGTGCAATTCCCCTCAGTGTCATAAGCTCATTTTCAAAGCCAGTGTTTTGAAATGAGCTGTGGTTGGCTTTGGAAGAAATAGAGGGTATATTAAACAAAGGCAGCACATAGCAAATGTTGTGTTATTATTTTGCGTAGATTTTTCTTTCCTGAGGAAATCTCACACTTTAAATTAAGCTTAGTTTCTGGGGGGACAAAAAAAAAGGACAAACTGGAATTGTGAGGCTGTGTTTCTTATCCCTAGGTAAGACAAATTCAATGCACAAATAAGGGTATTTTTCCCTAGCTGCTAGCTCTGCTTCAACATTGGAACACTAAGCTGAATTGGTTTCGATTCATGCAATAACAAATAAAAAATTGTTATTCTGATTATGCTGCTTGAGACAGAATAAATGGTACAATCCACCTGATCTGCCTTTAACTATATAAAATTTGGGTGTCCAGTTTTAAGCTTGTCCTGTACATGCTCTCTGTAGTAAGCCGACGGAAATAAGAACTCAAGAAAAAACATCATCTTATCCCAAGGAAGGTGAATTGGCTGACTGTTTGGAGGTGCCTCTCTTGCTCTCCATTGCCTGTGGAGGGGACTCAGCTAACTAACTTAGACTAGACACCGATTTTTAGAGCACTGTAGTAAGGTAAAGTTAATTATAGCCTGAAGGATCTGGCAGACAGATGCTCTAAATTTAATAAATTTGCACAAATAACAAAGTGATACTAATAGCTGACCAAATCTGGATATTTAGCAATTCATTTGAATGTAGAACACTACCCCATTACAAGCGTGGTGTATGTGTTCAGTTATATGTCGAAAATTGATTTCCATAGTGATCAGACATGCAGCATGGTAATTTCCTGAAAATTCAGAATCCTGGCCATATAGAAATGCTTCTGCATGACTGCTGCAATTATTTGAACCACATGATCAGAGAGAATTATTTTTTTGTCTGTGACAGCCTACTATCTCCTAATGTTACAAGAGGTACTTTGACATTTCAGATTTAGTGATTGGGAAGATTTCTTTGTCTCTATGGGAATTATTCACCCTTCTGGGACTTTTAAAGTCACCTCAGCCAGGCTGATATGTCATTTCTTACTTGTAAAGAGACTGTTGAAGTAAACTTTGGACCTAAATTGCATAAACCATCAAAATATATTTCCAGCAGCAAGTAGACTACTGCTGTTTCCACATTAAGCCTCCTTGGCCTGCGCCATAAGATATGACTGATCAAAAAACGAAGAAAACTATTAATAGAAAACGAAAGCATGTATAAATGGCTTTATTGTCATTATAATCTGAATGTTCTTTTTCTTTAATCTGTAGCTTCTTCCAATTTTCAGTATGATGCTGTAGCCTAGGTATGCAAGCGTATCTTAGTAGCTGAATGACACAGAGCAGCACTTGTAAGTCAAGACTTTCTTATGTTTAAGGCACTTGGTGTCTGGTTTTTGCCTTTGTTACAAAATCCCTGTGTATGTTGGACAAGCTTGTTAAGACCAGATTGCTTATTTTCTGCATATATTGTTGAACAATTACTCAATGAGAAGCCAGCTGACTCTCTGTTTTGATCAGATGCTCCAACCCCTAATTCACATCGGCAGAATTTTATTCTATTAGGTAGACCTGCTCGTTTTAATCGACCTCCTTCAGAATACTGCTCAGTGTGAGTAGGGATGGCAGATCTCCAAACACAATGGTGTAGAGTGGAGGTTGTAGCTGCTAATTCTACCTCAAAGGAATGCTAACACATTGTTCTGCTTGGAGATGGTGGGTAAATTTTTCATCTTGGATTCAACAAGGATAAGAATATCTAGCTTGGGATATAAGCCAAGTCTGGAAAAGTGCTGTTGTGACACATACTAATATCAGTAATTTAAATCTTTGGTCATTCCAAATAAATCTAGCCAAGTTAAAAAAGAGTAATAACTATGATCAATAAACACAAAGAAATTTTTACTCTATGAATGTGGTCGAGGGTCATCCACTAACATATTGCTTGACTGCTTTTGAGACTCTGTAAGCTCCCTAAGCCTTAGTTTTTCCATTTGCATATCAGGCAGAACAGTGATTGATCTCTCTCCCATTGGCATAGTGAAAGTTAATCTTTAAAGATTTAAAAATCATTCTGTAAAAATGACTGATGTATTCATTACAAATCCTTCTTAATCATTGATAGAGTTCATAAATAAACATCGTTGAGAGTAAGCATTTTGAGCACAGCTTTGTCAGGGGTTGGGAGGAAAAAAAAAGCTTCTTTATCATGTAATTTATATAAAAATTGTATTGGGTTGCTTGCCTGCCTGCTTCAGAGCTTCTAAATTCTTTTCAGGAATGCTTTGTTGGTTATGGGTCTACATTACACATGTGAAGGTAGCTGCAAGTATTAGAATGAGTCTTGCCAAGGCATTACCATGCACAGGACCATGCACATCTATTCTGCTTCTCAGAATATTTACATTCATTGAGGGCTTACTCAGGTTCCTCTTTCAGTATTGGCACACTGCATGCACGGACAGTGTAAATTTTATATTTTTTTAAATAAATTGGCCTCCCTGCAAGTTGGAAAGACTTCAACCAGACATGAAGTAAATGCAACAGAATTAGCTTACAAAAGTAAAAGGGGAAATAACAATTTCTGATTTTGCAAATATGTATGCATATTGTTATTTCAGTCCCACACAGCTTGATCATGACAAACTATTCCCTTTTCTTGGGTTTCCAGGCTATTCTGTGAGTTTACTGTAAATGTTATCAGGATATAAAGAAAGTGCAGAAAAGATGAAACTGAAATACATTAGATACCTGGTAACTTTGAGTATTAATATCCATCAGTGCCTTTTAAAACCCAAAAGTTTAAGGAAGTTTGTATCTCATCCCATTTTCTTTGGTATTTTATCTTTACATTCAGGTTGCTTTTGTAATAAAATACTAGTTTTGAATGTCTCCAGCTAAATTTACTTGCCTATGTTTTTTTTTTTTCTGTAAAACAAACAAAAATCCACTCAACAAGAAGTAGAGCACCTGTTCATACTTTACATGTTTCATAAATCCAGTTTACCATCTCACACTTTCTCTGTCAATCCTCATAAGCACTGAATTTATCATTTGAGTTTTAAGCACACAAAACCTGATCTGTTTTTAATTTGCTCATATCACCTCTGATGGTATTATTCACTAAAAAACCAAGAATGTGGCACCACTGCAGTACAACCAATACTTGGAATTCAGGGGTTTGCTCAGCTTCTAAAGGTTTAATTTTTCATGTGGAAAAATTGGTATTTTTGTGTGTCTTCTAATTTTTTTTTTTTATTTTTTTAAGATCTGGGTTAACTGTAGAAAGTATCTTCCAGAATTGGCTTGACACCTCCGGAATACCAAAGGTAAATACAAGATACCAGTTCCCAGCTCTTTCTGGAGTCTTGCATTTCTCATTACATTGCATGTTACTTAAATCATTACCTGAACTTCTAACAGGTATCGTTTTAAATAAGCAGTTTTGATGGTGACTGCTTTCCACATCTTTATATGGGTTTAGCTTTTATGGGTTCCAGGTTTTTACTTCCACCATCGTCTCAACGAACCTGACAAAGGGCAAATCTTACAAAACTTACCCTCTTGCTTACTATTGTAAGCAAGTATTGGAAGTGTACTTTACAGTATAGTGGTGGACTCTACTAAATGTAAGGAGCATTGTTCACAGTTGTCAGTATATGAATTACTTGAAAGCCACACTGACAGCAGTAACTAAATGTTAAATTATTTGTACTTTAATATTTTGTGAATATTGTGACTTGCTCAAGAATCTGCTGCATGGGTATCATATTTCATTGGTGTTCCAGCTCTGTTGCAGCTGAGACTGAGCATTGTTTTCTGCTTTTAATACTAAAAGCTTTTAATATTAATGCTTTAAATTCTGTGAACTGAAAATGCTTAGTTGTGTTTGTGCTATGTGAAGGCTCTGATTATTCGTTTTGGTCCAGAACTGGGATTAGCTAAAGAAAGATATCTCTATAAATCTTCCTAAAAACCAGTTTTATACAAAGTATGTTTTTATTACACACTTGAGGCTCAATTTCTAACGGATTTCCCCTAAGCTGGCATCCCCTAGGTTGCTTGGGATTTATCTTACCTAGTGATTGCATTTGTTTCCACTTTGCATTAGCATTTTAAAAAAAAAAAACTTCTAAGAGTTAGAATGATAAGTCCTGGTTTGTATGTGCCTAAATGAAGGTACTTAGGCAGCATGCCTGAGGCTCTAAGGAGTGAGAATGTTTGCAGGTAGAATTGTCAAAATAGGTGGAGCGCTAAAAATGGTAAGCAGTGGTTACTGAACCTGACCTGTACCCAGACACTGTGGTTGAGCTTTTCCCTTGACAGCTGTAGAGGTGTGCATGTCCACTGGTCTCTGTATGCTGTAGAAGGCTCTTTGGGAAGTTTTGTCCTGAGATCAAAATGTTCAAAGACTAATATTTGAAGATGCTATAAAATCGAGGTACAGTTTGGTTTTTACTGTAAAATTATTGAAAATAAAATCAGCTTTAATTGGAAGGAAGGAAAGAAAGGGACAGTAAGTATCATCTTGCATCTTGATGTTCAGTCATTTCTTGAAAAAGGACCTTGATTTTAATTTTTTTTTTTTTTGATAGAGAATTCAATACATTGTAGAACAGCTGCTTCAAGTATAGGGGAGAAACTGATGTTGCACAGCTGTAGTTGTAAGACGCTGAACTGGCTGTCTGAAATGAAAGAGTTTTCTGGCATTTTACTTACACGTATCTCTTTTAGAATGTGCTTTATTAGTGTCCCACAATCAACTCTAAAATCACAATAAAGGAAGATGGGAGCAGACTAAAGAATTGAAAATGGTTTTGATTAACGTGAAAACTGAACTCTGTTTTCCTGAGTGTGTACCATAAGTTGTTCAGAATGAATAGTGAGTAGTTTCTAGTTTCTGCAAGTATCTAGTGATTGTGTAAGCAAAACATGTGGCAGAAATATTCCCACATCCATCAGGCTTGTAAATCGTTGTAAATTTTCTTTAAAGACCAAAGAGATTTCCCTGATAGTTTGGCTGTTTTGTAAAAACGACATCAACAGGAATGGTGCTGATCTAGTATTCTGCTGCTTCTGAGAATCAGCATGCTGACCTCTTCCCTCTGTCTCTCTCTTCCCTCAGTAACCTTTTTGATGATTTACCCTTGTTACCTTCAGCACTTCTCAGGCTCTTGTGGGAACTAGTTTCCACTTTATTGAAAGAACTGTAGTTGCCATCCAGTGAACAGGAAGCCTTGTTTCCTTTGTGCTTTATTAAATCATTTGGGGAGCCCTTATTCCTGAAATCAAGACTGTAGAGGTTGCTTAGTAGCTCTCAATACGTTAGTATCTATAATCTAAATACGACTGTATTTATAGCAAACTATTAACTTGGCTAACATGAATCTATGTGAAGGCACATAGATCACCTTCTTACATGCAGGTGAGCTATGTGCGTCATAAATAGCAGCCCAGGAATGCATAGCAGCCCATGAATGCCACAGAACGGATTAATTCTCTCTCTTACGGGTTGCCAGGTGAGTGGACTAGGGGGTGTGTAAAGGAAGGCTTCTGTCAGCTCCTTTGGGCAAAGTCTTATGGCTCCCCCAGCCACTCAGGCAGCGTGAGCAGTGTGCGGCACAGAGTATCCACTGCAGTTGTTGATGACCTTTCTTAAGTGCTTGAGCAATGGAGAAGCAGCTGCTTATCACCCTTATTTTACTGACTGTACTATAGAGTCCTGTAGCGTAATAGTTAAAGTCACTCTTAATCCTGCAGCACGTACTCTTAGAGGGACAAAATGCATTTCTTGGTGGTTTAGTAGATACCTATGACAAAAAACCTGACTGACAATTTAAACATTTTAAATTCACAAATACTAGCTAAGACTTCATTGCATTTGGAAAGGAAACGTCCTTACTGGAGAGACTATCCTCTGAAACGGGATTGGGAAATATGCATCATGCTGTCCATTCCAAAAATCAAGTCAGAACGTGGTTCCTTTATATCTCTCCCATATGAGCATTTTTATATTTTATAGTGGCTGGGGTTGGTTTTGTGGCATCTTTTATTTCTATATTTTGGTGGGTTTTGCTCAGGAAATTCACGTCATCCATTTACTATAAAGAAGACTCGCCACTTGTGGTTCATTTACAGCATTAGCTACCAAAGTGTTTTTAATAATTTTCCTCCATAGTTATATCCAAATCTATCACCTGTACACAACTGGTACTCTCTAAAATTTGATAACAATATGGTCACTTAAAAACAGACTTGTTAGCCCACCCCTCAGTTCACCGTCTTCACAACAGTGTCTAGCTGGACACTGGAAGGGTACTTTTGCAAAAGATGGATAAGGGTAAATACTTCCCACGCCCCAGACTGCTGAAGGAACGTTACTTACCATCTTCCTTCCAGCAGAGGAATTAACATTTTGTATTCTTTACAGTCATATGTCATGGCATCTGTCTAACTGAAGATCCGGTACTCCTTTACCTGTGCTCTGTTACATTTGCAATCCCAAATCCCATCTCCAGCTCTGCCCAGGGAACTGCATATATATACCCCTTTGTACTTGCAACTTATAGCTATTGAAACTTTAATATGTGTCAATTCCTATTACCATTTCATCTTGGAAAAGTCATTTGGTCTTTTCTAAATATTGGGCCAGTTTCCAGGCTCATGTATATACCAGCAGTAATCAAGAATAACTTAACCTAAGGGATACATACTGATAAATTAAAACAGAATTTGGCCTGTTGCCATGAAAAAATAATTCTGCATGCCAAGTTAAGCTTCCAAATTTGGTATTTTCTAAAGCATTAAAGGTTAATCTTATAAAAAAGAGTGTGTGGTAGTGCCTGGCCAATTCTTTCTTACATGGAAGAGTGCCACAGCACAGTGGTTGTCTTCAGGCTTGCTGTGCAGGAAGGTTTTCTCACACACGAAACAATAAGAAATATAAGAGATGAAAAGCAAACATTTCTGAAATACAAGCTTTCAAGAGGATTTTTTTCTGGGAACACATTGTGGCGGTGTTAAATAAGGTGAAGCATATTGCATTGTTGAAAATACCTTTTTCAAATCAAGCAACCTTCAGCATGTACTTCTGTCTCAGAGGTGACTCACCAGGGGATTATAGCAATTTTTCATCATGTGCAGGTAGTAATGACTTAACACCACTAACTTTAGTCAATGAGTTAAGCTGGCAAGGAGTAGAATCAGAAGAACAAACCAGCATTTAGGGCTGGAAAACACCTATTAAATCACTTAAGTCTGCTTTATCCCTGCTGCTGATTATTTGTTCTCTTAAGTACAGTTTCTATTGTGTCTTTCAGTCTATGCAATTAGACTTTAAGACTAAAAGACCATATGCTTCTTCAGGAAGATTTTCTCAGTTCTGCACACTTGTCTTTGTGTTACATTGCCCACTTACTCTTACCTGAATTTCTTATTCTACCCTAGATAATTAGTCTTTTTAAAATATGCTTAAAATCTTGCCCCATTTTGCACTCTGTTGCACACTGTTTAATTGAATACACCAGTAAACATTAGGTAGTCTCTGCATCTCATAAACTCCCATGTGTATTTTTTTAACTCATTCCAGTTTCACCACCTTTTTTTCTGCCTCTGAAACTGCATGGTTTCATGATATACTATTATTTACTGGTAAACTTGCTATCTTGAATGTTCCTTAGGTGTGTATTTGGGTACCTTGTGTGATGAAAATCATATTCTCCAGATTCATTCTTGAGTTAAAAAAAAGGGGGGGGGGGGAGAAAAAAGAACAAAAAAGAGTAGTTGGCCTGCTCCTTCATGATTTTTAGTTTCCAACAGATCCTTCAGTGTAATCTACAAGTCTTATGTGATCACATAGCTGCAGGCACTATGATAAACACACCGAACATCCCCTCAAAATTATAAAAAAATTGCAAGAGGTGATAGCAGTGCTGTATCTTTCTCCTAGTCCCTTTTGCTACTTTATCCTCCTCTTAAAGCTTAATTCTTATCCACTGTTCTACCTTAAACAGTATTTCCTGATTAAAGTAGGTACTGCCAACAGGTATTTCAGTGTATGTACAACTTATAGCATGTATTGCAAGAATACTACGCCATGCTTTCTAGTTCTGAATGAACACTGGAGTACAGCCTCCGGTTACAATACCAAGAATTTTGCCATTTAAAAATAATTCATATTTTTTCCTCTCTGCACTGCTCTTTGTTACTGTGGTAAAGCAGTAGTTTAAGCTACATCTACTAATTTTATTTGTAAATCATCTACATTTCTGGAAATACACAGTCAAAAGAAATCTTCCAGTGGTGAATATTCATTTATTCATAGTATTTC